GGCGGCGCCAGATTCTTGCGGGAGAGGAGCGGCCGCGCACCTCTGACGGCAACAATTGGGGGATCTTGACTGCAGATCGAACCGCCCACTTCTGCCGAGCCTCGGACTCCCGGGAAGACGGGTTTCGATGATGCTACGGCGGCGAGCAGGTGATCGAAGACGCTTGTCTGTGTGTCTGCGTTCCGCAAGCCCGCGATGGAGCGACGCTGGCGCAGATCGATCTGCGGCGGTCTGCGCAACTGGGCGCGACCCCTTCTGTGAGCGCATTTGTCAGATGAGGCGAAGCATTGGGTGTGATAGCGGAAGGAAATGGCTGAATGTTCAGGCAGCACAGGTGTGGTATTCTTTTGTGTCAGGACCTAGAACGTTCAGGGTGGGGCACATGACAAGGAATGGGGATATGTTACAACATGGCCACTGAGCGCCTGCCAGCCACAGTGTCTATGAAAGGCACTGCGACCTCTAATGTGCTGCTTGTGGAGAAGCAAATTGACAATCAACTTGGAAGAAAGTCACGCTGCAGTGGCAGGAAAGCAGTTATGCACATGCCCCACAGAAGCCGAGCTTGCCGCGCTAAGTGCAGCTTTGGCGATCTGTGCTGCAAAGAACCATTGGAATGGAACAGTGAAAGATCGTATGCGATCGTATACGTATACGATCATGTGCACAGGTAGTGAATGAAACAACGCAGTCGTGTAAACGGAAACATGTTCTTAAGCAGATGAAGGTGCGAGCATGGGAGATACCGAATCAAGCTCAGTGTCAAAGCAAGATGTCTTCTATTTTGACTTCTTTTGTCTTACAGCAGTTCACCGGTGCCTGCCAGGGAAATCGCAGTCACTGCTTGCAAAATCTTGTGTTCCCAATACATGCATTCATGACCTGCACAGCCTGTCAAGACAAGGAAATGACGATTGATAACCCAATGCAGCATGAATGACTATGGGATCCTCACCACAAACATTTGGATTCCGACCCTAAGGCTGTGCAAATGCCGCAAAGCACTTTTCAATGCACCGATGTGTGAGAAATCGATGCATCTTCTGAGATCAGCTTGGCTCCATGCTGAACTTGCAGAATATTCAAACCCATGGAGGCTTTATGGAGTTATTATATTGTCCTGTCCACATTCGTTTTTTTGCTTCCGTAACCTCCAGACAGCCAGCGGTGCAATTTCATCTTGATCATTTTTGGTGTGCGCATGCAGTTGCTCAGTTGTGTGCAGGTGTACATCGCAGTGGCCAACTGCAGGCTCTGACATTTGATCAGGTACGTCCTTATTGCAAACCTCTCTCTTGCACTCAAATAGGGATGCATCGTCATCAAATGTTGAGAAGGGTTTCAGAATACCTTACCCACTTTTTGGCTTGTGCCCTTCTTTGTCTAGTGTACAATCCTGACAGTCACGTCAGTGTGTTTTCACATCTAAATGCCTGCCTTGACTTTGATTGGGTGGAGCAGGAGGTATTACTCATCAGGAAGCAAACATGCCTTCTGTCAAATGTGGCCTGTGGAGCGCTGCATGCCACAATTCTGCAAGTTGCAGTACTGTGTGATAGGCAGACCATGTGCCAGGTGGCCCAGCGTCTGCCATGCATGCGCATATTGTGGCATGCATAAATATACCATGCAGGGCTGTACAGGCCGGATTGAACAGGAGGCAACAAACATGCACTGTGTACAGATATGTCCCCAATGCCGTCCTGTGTGTGCAAAGATGCCTGTTGTCATGAAAAACTACAAGCTGTCAAATTGGATGCCACACACCAAGCCCATCTTCATCCTGACAGAATCTGGCATTTAATCATCCCCCTTGATGTCCAGTATTGCCTATTCCTTGTGGTGCTCCACAGGGCTCTGTGTCTGAGGAATCGGCAACGCTGGTAGCACAGGTGCTGCGATTCTACAGATCCCCTGCATGGACACCATCTGCCACAACATCATTGCTGCACAAGGTGTGTTGTTCAATCTGGGCTGAGCAATATTGCAGCCTTTGTGGGTGGATGTCGTTCTTTGTGCCTTTTTGTATTTCCTTCTCGACTTCGCTGCATGAAAACGGGTTCCATGGTCTTCATGTCCTTTGCAACAGTGCAGACTCTGCATTGGCACAGCTATTCTATATGACTTGTTGAATCGTGCCCTAAGTGATAACTGGAATGCATGGCTGGCTGGCTGGCTGGCACAGGACTGCATTTAGCACAGTGTTTGTCTCACCACCAGCTTATTGGGGGCTGTGTAATGCCTTTCTCAATATCAGTACTGTCTGTATTGACAAGGCATCCACCGTCAATTCTGAAAGACAATCAGTGCTTAACCGCAGGAGACAGTGGTGGTGCATATTTAACATGGAGCACTCGATCGTTGGGATTCCAAACAGAAACAGCAATGCCCATATTGCACTCTGTCACTGGAGTTGACATCATATTCGAGATACATACCTTTGAATCTGGCTGTCCATCTGCATGCAATTTGCCAATTTGGGACAAAGTGCTACATAAGGTATCCACTGCCAGCAACGATGTACCCTTCATAAGGCATCCATCGGCTTTGGCACTGCCTGTCCAAGCCATTTCATCAACGCATGGCCTCAGTTGTCAGAACAGAAACCAACATTGACTGGCTTTCTGAGTCAGTCGTGTCCCAACTGGAAGCAGACAACAAGGAGGTCAAAAGACCCTTCTGCCAGCACTTGTCTCCAGGAACAAGTTTTGTCAAATTGGCATGTCCTAATAAAGCTTCATTCCCACATAACATGTATGTATAATGCTTTGCTAACAGTGTGTCTTACACAGCTAGATAATGCTGTTCTTGTGTATCAATGAATCCTGTGCAGAACTGAATTCAGAAGGGGACTTCCAAGTTGCTGGTGAAGGTGCATCCCCCCTTCTGCTTGTTTAAGTGTATTTCTAGTTTAGCTTTTTAGTTGTTTAGTTGTTTTCGTCAGTTTCTATAAGTTTCCACAGATTTGCAAGTTCAGGGGCTTGCTGTGTTGTTGCTGTGCCATGTTGCCACTGTTGTCTTCTCTGCGTTGAATGCTGCACTGTGTTGGTTTTCCTGTGCTGATTCTGTGCTGAGGTAATTGCATCGCCCATGTGGCAGGTGCAGAAGAAGGTCAGCAGCACAATACAATTAATTGACGTGGAGCAGGTGAGGGGGCAGTGCATCTTTGGTGCATGTCTTTTCAGTGTACAAGGCTTGGGTTTCAGTACAGGCCCTTATTGGTCTGCAAAGTTCGTACATTGCTGCAACACCAGTGCCGCATGCTGCTTTGAAGTATGGCTTGCTTGATGTGCCATCCATAATGAGCACGTTCTGTCATGGCATCATTGGGGCTCTGCAATCCACAGACCTAGAGGTGCTTCACACAGCGTAGCCAAACTGAACTGAACTGCCATGCATTGCATTCCAATTGGAATAATGCAAAGTCTGCTTGCAACTCACATCTTCGACTGATCAATTTCTCAAACAGAACAGCTGTGGCCTAGGATGTTACTGCCACTCAACATTTGTTGCATGCATGTCCCAAAGCCTCTGCGATGCACAGCATGAGCACATTCACATTTGAGAGTTTCCTTCTCCACGTTCTACCCAATTTGCTGTTCGCATGCATCGTCCTGACACGCTGGCATTTCAGTGCAGTGCTTCAACATACAAGTGAGCCAGCCCTTGACAAGCCAGGAATTAGAGGCACTGAGATGGTGCGCCTTGTTGACGTGATGTGATGACTGGTGTGATCTGCTACCTGCTGTGTCAATTGAAATTCCATCAGAGCAGATTAAACATGTGTCAGTGGGCACTCCCTGTTTGAACTTATTCTTCTTTAGGATTCTTGTCCGTGCTCTGGAAAAGAGTTCATGCTCACCTTATGCAGCATTCACTGAGGCTCTGCAAGGTGAGTGTAGCTTTCATTTTGAGGAGAACAAAAGGAGGACAACAGCGTTGGAGGCTACAAAGCAGGCAGCACCAACTTCAGGCTTTCTGTTCACATCTTGCCGTTGGGAACTGCTGTTTTCTTTTGCCGTGACTCCAGCTTATTCCATCACATTTCGGCATTCAGGTGCCAATCCTTCGTATCAAAAATGGATTTGTAGGCCTGTGCCACCTAGCAAGAAAGTGCAAGGCGATGTAAAGAGCCCCAAAGGTGTTGTGCTTAGATGAATGAGATTAACCTTGGTTTTTGATCTGCCCCAACCCCGCCCACCCATCTCCACCCAACGCCAACCATTGAAGCATGGAATTTCTCCTCTTGGAGATATTTGGGAACTGCACTGTATGGTTTGATTTCGCTTTTCCCTTGTCCACAAACTCATAATGGGGAACAATATACCCTCTGTGGTCTGAACTTCAATTGTTTCTATTGGGCAAACTGTCCTCACTGGAATTGCTGTGTCAGGCTGTTGCAGGAAACGTATGAACCCGAACAGCTGACGCAGCAGAGCGGGCTGACAGGAGAGCAGTCTGCTGCTGCACATCATTGTGTTGTGGAGGTGGGGTGCTTGTGGATGCGCACTGCCACATTCCCATATCTCTGACGTGTTGTGCATCTGCTTGGAGTGCTATCTGCGGGCCTGGAATTAGTAGCGTTCCTTTCAGCAGAACGAGAGCACTTAACACACTTGGGCAGTGCCCAAGTGGGCCCCCTTCTGCTCTTCACAGTTTGGTGAAGCGAGTTTCTTTCCTTTTGTTGAGAGATGATGCAGGGTATCCCAATGCGATGGGCACAACACAGAATGGAAGTGACATGAACAACAACAGCACATGCAGAATCTGGAGAAGCAATTCTTGTTTTCTGGACTGAAAACATTTTCTGGATTTTCAGACAGAAGAAATGCGGTTGTGTGGTTTGTTCATTATTGGTACAGTCACCCCTCTGTTGGAATGTTCATGTGATGGGAGAATCCCACGGGTTAATATCATGTGCATGCTGGTAGCAAGATGTGCATCCATGTTGTTGCCTTGATTCGCAATGTGCCGTGTCTTCCTTGCAGGTTGGCCCTCGAATGAACTTTTCAACTGCTTGGTCCTCAAATGCTGTCTCCATCTGCCGTTCTTGCGGCTTGCCTCACATTGTAAGAATGGAGAGGTCGCTCAGATTCCTCCTCCACAGCACATCTGCTCTTTCAAAGACCGAGAAAGAAAAGTTTGCAGGCCTGGTGCGTGCTTCTTTCTATTTTTCTTTTCCACAATACGACATCACTGTCAGTACTGTGGAGGCCTTGTGTATGTACCTGGGTAGCTGAGGGTCCAACACAATATTCGATGGCCTGGGGCAATTGGCTGTGGGAACATAATAGTGGTTTGTGCTTGCAACAAGTTACTCGAGGTTTGGGACAGTGAAGAAGACAGCAAGGTAATTGAGTGATCGAAGTGGACATTTATCAAGCAATTCATTGAAATAAAGTGCAAATGCGAAAGCTGCTGTTGCATTTGGGGGTGATGACAGGCTCTATGTTCATCCGCACAGCTTGTTCTCGCAGTGTGGATGAAAACTGATGATGCATGTCCTCACTGAAGGGCGTCCGTCTGGCTGAGAAGCAAAGCCAGTTGGGGGAAGATCCATCGAGAGTGGTGCCATTAGGCTAGGAATTGAGCTGGCCTTGCAGTGTCTGCACCCAAGTCCTGACAATCGTTGCTTAGTTTTCTGCCTTGCACCCCTTAGGATGACCAAATCTGCTGATTGTTCATTCAAACTAATTAAATTATGAGCCAACGTGAACTATGTAACCAAACATACCAAGCAAGTCAAACAAACAAAGGTCATGTCCTAGCACAATGAGAAATCCAGTGGCAGCCAATCAGGGCTCTTTCGTTGTCTGCTTTCCATAGCTGTTGATCCATATCCCCATCCATTGTTTCCCAGTCTCTCGACCGGTTGGTTAGTCTGTTGGCAGAGCACTAATGCATAGGACAACAACGTGTACACAGGATCTGCTTGTTTGGGGCCAAACTTGAGCAGTATTGGTGGGGAAACTTTCCCCAATGCGACTTGCCAAGTTGCCAAGTCGGTGGAGATGTTTCAGTAGATGACTGACCACCATTTGCTCTGTGCAGTGCTGAGATCCTGTTGTGTCTGCCAGGTTCATGATCGCATGACTGAGCAGGTGTATGAGCAAGAGTTGACCTCCTTCAAATCTAATGTTGTTCCTGCACAAGTGGAGATTGTGCCGGTCATGGCTGAGGGCAAGGCAGCCCTGGATAGGGTCAACAAGGTGAAGAAAACAAACTAGCAGCTCACAGCCACTTCCACTTTGCACAGATGTATGACATGAGGAACAGGGATTATGGGAAATGCATGAACAGCTGTCAGTTGCACACCCGCTAGAGCCTGCAACGTGGAAGAACTTGATGTTGTCTTCTCATGTTGACGAGCTGTGGTCAGCAGCCCTCCATGGAGTGAGCATCACAGACGTTCTGTACATGCCGGTGTAGCATGTAGCACTCGGAAGTATTGTTACCTTGGTTGTTGTTTTTTGGCTGCTTTTCTGCTTCTTCTGCACCTTCTACAGCACTGTTAGCACAGATTGTGCCTTCTGTGGAATACACATTACAGTTGTTTGTTGTCAAAGTCGCCCTTTGGTGATGAAGGAAAGTTTCACGATGATGCTATGCACTGCAGGAACTTGGGCTCGCGTTTGACGCTTGGGACTTGGAGTACTACACTGCCTTATTCAGGGATGACATGAAGCGGGACCCTACAAACGTGGAGCTCTTTGACATCGCACAGTCTAACAGCGAACATTCCAGGTACCATATTACACTGTCGACATGCACATTGGCCCACTTCGTTTTCCATGTGAACATATTTTTTTTCTCTTTCAGATGCTGAACTTTAGGATTGAAGGCAAGCAAGCAACCATCTGTGTGGAACATTTGCGAGAGAATTCACGTGCATCACCACCTTGCAGATGCAAGGGCAGTGCATTATTATGTTGTGGCACATGGTGCTACAGCGATTGTCTCCTGTTTGAGATCATTCTGTTATCATTACCAAAATTGCAGTCAAACAGGATTTTCAAGACTAGGTTGAAAACTTGCAGCTGTGTAGTATCGGCCCGCCAGAACTCTACCAACCTTCATGCAATTTTGGATTTTCGACAAAGTGGGCTGCACAAGCAGCCATTCTCTTCCTTTTGGGCAACAGACGGCTGGCTGCCACTCAAGCAGGGTCTGTTTGTCCATTGACTATTTGTCCAGGTTGGCAAATGAAGCCCATGCACCAGCAACGTGACGATCGTGAACATGCAACTGCAGTGTCCCAAACTGGCCAAACGATCCCCAACATTCGTATGAATGGACAATGACACCCATACCCACCAAGGCAACAAGGAAACCCTTTTTCACCAGACCACAGGCACGGACTTGGTGGAAGCCTGGAGCTCGAGCATTAGAATATGCTTGTGGATCACCACCTGCCCTTGCCAATGGGAGTGCTGGCAGTGATGTGTCACACTTCCGTCGTTTCTTCGTATTTCCTTGCCACTATGGATGTTATTCCCATTGTTATTGTTGTCACCGTATTTTACAGTTCTTTGTAATTGTTAGCATGGATGCATGCACAGGCACTGGTTCTTCAAGGGCAACATGGTCCTTGACGGTGTCCCCATGGACAGCACGCTCATGGACATTGTTGCTTCCCCACTGAAGGCGCACCCAAACAACAGTGTCATCGCGTTCAAAGACAACTCCTCTGCCATCCGTGGCGCTGTGGTGCGACCACTGCTGCCTACCACGTCGGGCTCACCCTCACCCCTGGCGCCACAGGAAAAGGACTGGGACGTGCTGCTGACAGCGGAGACACACAACTTCCCATGTGCTGTGGCGCCATATCCAGGTGTGCTGGTCCTGCAGCCACATAATATGCGCTGAACATGTATAGGCTGTCCATGAATACGTATGAAGATCTGACATGTACCCATGTAGTGAATTTACTAACAAGTACACTGGCACTGAAATGTGCACCATTTTTTCTTTTTTTCTTTCCTGTTTTGTTACAGTAATCTCATCCTTTGTCCGTTTTGGCCCCTGTATCTTCTGCCTGTCCACCAGTTCTGGTTTCAAGGTTGCTTGCGATTGCCACTAGAGGCCTGTAGGTGATTGGGCAACTGTTGAGAGTCAAATGTGATAGGAGAGGAATTCTGGCCTTTGCAGGTTCCGAAACTGGCACTGGTGGCAGAATCAGGGACACGCACGCAACAGGCAAAGGATCTATAATGGGAGCGGCCACAGCAGGGTATTGCGTTGGGAATCTTCACTTGGACAATTACAAATTGCCATGGGAGAATGAGGAATTTGAATACCCAGGAAACCTGGCAACACCAGCTCAGATCCTTATCGATGCCAGCAACGGGGCATCCGATTATGGAAATAAATTTGGGGAGCCTGTTGTTGCTGGGTACACCAGGACATTCGGTGCCCGGGTCGCTGAAGGGGAGAGGCGTGAATGGATCAAGCCCATCATGTTCAGGTCAGTCTGCAAACTGCCCAAAAATGTTCGTTAATTGCTGATTGTGAGATGGAAGGCAAGAGCGATTGTTGAAACACAATGCATGTTTGCAGGGTGCTTCTTGGTTCAGTGGTCTGTCGATGGTGAGCAACTGATGACAATCTGCTTTGCTGGTATTCTCATAACTTTTCACATTTACTTGTGGGTATAGATGCATATTATTTACAATTTTCGCGCACTTACACTCTTTCTGTCCCAGTACACACAATGCCATGATGGGTGCTTTTTGCAACCACACTGTGCCTCCAGCATGGGCGTGATTGGCTTGCTCATACAGCACGCTCAGGGCTTGTCTGTCAATTCAAAAATATGATGAGATATGCAGCAGGGCGCTCCGCCACAATTATCTTGCTAGCTATTATGATGTGGGGGCGTTTCTTTTCCAAGCATCGTTCTGTCCTTGCAGACCACCAGAAAGATACATGATGATCTGATGATCTAGTGTCAGTAGAGACAAAAGTGATCCAATTCAGCAGAACAGCTTAAGTCATTAGAGACAAATTCTTTTATCAATGTGCTGTTTTCATGTTACTTCATTGGACAAATTCACCTACTCAAGCTCAATAACGATGCAACTGTCTGAGGATCACGCACGAGAAATACACAGGAAGCGATTTGCAACATGTGTTAGGCGTACTTGGATCTGACACGTCCTGTTGATGGTTTCATTGCCTTATAGCGGCGGTGTGGGACAGATCGACCATTCACACCTTGACAAGGATGATGGTGAGGTGTCCATGCTGGTTGTCAAGATTGGAGGTCCCGCATATAGGATTGGGATGGGAGGCGGCGCCGCATCCAGCATTCCCAGTGGCTCCAACAGGGCAGAGCTGGATTTCGATGCTGTGCAGGTGAAGGTCGATCCTAGTGCCATACTGATCAAATGGATAGTTGACAACAAATCACTGCCCTTGCACTTATCATGCGATGTCGAGTACTGTTGATATCCAGTAACGTGTGTTCACAAACCAGGTGGCCCCAGCCTTCCACTGAACTGAAGCCTGTGTCGTGGCTGAAGCTGCTTGCTTGCTGATTTGGTTCCGATAGTTTCAACTGTCCACTGTGCATCTGAAAGTTGGGGATTATTGGGCCTGCTTAGAACATGGCATGCAGATATGCCCCTGCAGCATTGAATAGTTTTCAGTTTGCACAATGTTGGGGGACTGAATGTGCAGTACACAGGTGGTCCGTTGGATCCATGAGGTGTTAATCAAAAGGTACTGGGCTATTGTCTTCATGTTGCTCCAATTGGAATATGGGCAGTGCCTGAAATCGCTTGCTTGGTGCAAGGAAGAGATCTTTTGTATTCTTGTGTAAATGCAAGCGATGCAAGTTCATGAAACGCCACAGGCAAAGCTGGCAAAAGAACGGTTAGCTCAAGTTTGTGCTGCTGCTCTCTTGCAGCGTGGCGATGCTGAAATGTCTCAAAAACTGTGGCGGGTGGTGAGGGCATGTGTCGAGATGGGGAGCAGGAACCCCATCGTCCAGATTCACGACCAGGGAGCAGGGGGAAACTGCAATGTTGTGAAAGAGATCGTATACCCACTCGGTGCAGAGATTGACATTCGTGGCATAACCCTTGGGGACCAGACGATGTCTGTGCTGGAAATCTGGGGAGCAGAGTACCAAGAAAATGACTGTCTACTGATAAAGCCAGGAGACAGGGCATTGTTTGAAGGCATATGCTTGAGGGAGAGGTGTTTGATGCAGGTGGGCTGCAGGTGTCCCTTTGTCCACAGCACCTGGCTTAAGTATGGGCAACTAGTCTGGCTTCAGAAACAAGCCTCTTTCCTGCCAAAGATCTGTCAAAGCTTGGTTCAAAGATGCCTGAGCACACACACAGGGACAGAGCAGAACGAAGAGGAGAATAAATTGAATAATTGAATAATTGAATAATTGAATAAATTGATTAAATTGGTGAGGCATGTTCTGTTTGGGGCCAACTGGGCTATTAGTAAATGAACCAGGTCACTTGCTGTTGTTGCACATTGCTGTGCTGACAGTGCTTGTGCTAGTACCCTGTTGGCAGCTTGCCTTTGACATGGAGCATAGGATGACATCTTGTTTGAGAGTTCATGGGACTTGGGGTACAGGTGATGGAAGTGAAACTAGCTGACCGATCCAATTCATCTTGGTTTGGCTATGTCGATGACATTCGATCATAGGTGCACATCGTAGGTGCATGTGCCTGCCATTTGACAGGGATGGCTGTGTGATGCTGACTGCAAGGATGACAACAGTTGCCCCCAGAGACTGCTAACGGCCATTGATATGTCTTCTCAATCTCCTTTCTGGGGCTGTTTCAGAAGTTGACCCCAGCAGCAGAAGCAGCTGGATGCTTTTCTCTTGCAACTGCTGTCACCTTGCTGCTTCCAGAGATTCAGACATCTGCCCCTCTCAATTTGAATTCCAACTTGTGCTAATTCTGACAAGCCAAACAAACAGCCCCCATGGCTTCAATCCATGCTTAGCAAGCAACCCTTTTGAGGTCAGACTGTGACCGTGTCCAAGGCATCTGTCAGGTGATTGGATCCATTTCCGGGACTGGGAGAATCGTCCTGAAGGACAGGGAAGCGCCTCCTGATGCCACCCCACCCGTCGACCTGGATCTGGACAAGGTGCTGGGCAAGATGCCAAGGAAGACGTTCACCTTTGATCGGGCTCGGCCACAGCTGGTGGCCCTGGAGATGCAGGATGCGGAAACCCCGACCACAGCACTTGACAAGGTCCTACGGCTCCCCTCTGTGTGCTCGAAGAGGTTCCTGACAACCAAAGTGGACCGATGTGTCACAGGTGCGTCAGAAGCACCGTCCATCAGTTCCCGCATGCCAGCTGCTGTTCTTCTGGCTTTGGATCAGAAGGATTACACCACTGTGCTGGGCTCGCACTTGGAACATATCACACTGTGCTGGCTGCAAGAGGTGCGCTTGTCAGTAGCCGTGGTCACAGTTGGGAGCATTTGTTCTAAGGGAACAAAAAAAAGAAACACTGTGACTGCACAGTTGGATGTTCTGTGTTGATGATTTCTGTTTGTCATCCTCAGGTCTGATTGCGCAGCAGCAGTGCGTTGGTCCATTGCAGCTTCCCATTAGCGACGTTGCTGTCATGGCCCAGAGCCACCAGGACTTCACAGGCGTCGCAACATCAATCGGGGAGCAGCCATTGAAGGGTCTTATCAACCCTGAGGCGATGGCAAGGCTGGCCTTAGGGGAGGCCCTGACAAACCTCGTTTGGGCACAAGTGACAGACATGGGCCACATCAAAGCCTCCATAAACTGGATGTACGCAGCAAAGATGGGTGGAGAGGGAGCTGCCATGTATGATGCAGCCTGCGCACTGAGGTACGTTGCTGGGGCATCATGTCCTGCTTGACCACTTCTGGGTAGGGCGAGTGTCCAGTGGAAGTTGTTGTGCAAAGGTTATGGCTTGTCCAGTGTGCACTTGCTTGAATTTTGTTTGACTGTTGCAGTATTTCAGTTTCCAGATTCAATTTGTAATCTGAACAGTTTCTTTTCTGTCTCAATGGCATCCTGCATCAGCAGAGCAAGAAAGCAGCCGATAAAGCATGAGGATCATTTCCAGCGGTTCTGGGTGGTGCTGCTTTGTGCATGGTGGTTGACACTCTGCAAGGAGGGCATCCCAGAAAATGATCGCTATCCCACTGTTGGAAGCTATGAACGTGGCTGTTGTCTGCATTACTGCTCCCTTGGGATGCCTATCATGCTGTTGATGTGCATGTTGATGTGTATGCACATGGATATTGTATGCTTCATATCATGTTCTGCATACAGTGCTGTATATGCACTACGTATTCCAGCATCAGAATATTGATTTATGCACCATCTTATGTACAGTACTCTGTATGTTGATGGCTTAATTATGGGGACCACTAACTCAACAGGCATACATCCAGTTGGCATCCAGGCACAGGGTTTCTTGACCGATTGTGCAAATTCTGCAGGGATGCGATGATCCAGCTTGAAGTTGCATGTGATGGGGGCAAGGACAGCTTGTCAATGGCAGCGGCTGCGGGTGGTGAGACTGTGATGGCTCCTGGCAATTTGGTGGTGAGCGCATATGTGACCTGCCCAGACATCACAAAAACTGTCTCCCCGGACCTCAAGCTTGGCGACGCAGGTGTGCTCGTGCATGTTGATATGGCCGATGGAAGGAGAAGACTTGGGGGTTCTAGCCTTGCACAGGCACTGAGTCAGGTGGGGAGCCTTTTGGACTATGGGCCATAGTTTGCACATCATCGTTCCTGTCCTATTCCAATAGATCATGTGCGTCCACAACAGAACTGCAGAATTAGAACCCAGATATGGCCTGGGCTACATTAGCTGATGCCAACATAATGCAGCATGGCATGGGTGTGGTAAGGCGCTGCACAGCGACACACCATCACCAGACAATGTTGTATGCTGCATTTCTTGACTTGCAGATTCATTCTGTAGCATCTGCGTCACCCATCACTTCGTGGCATTCACAGTGGCTCCCAATAAGTGATGCCTGAATATCAGCAGTGCATAGTGATATTGTCATGCCAATGGCAGACTTGAATAGAAGAATGGGTTGAAGCTGCCACAGACCATGCATTCAATTATGCTTAGAGCCTTCTTCTGCAGCAGGTCTCCTGCTAGGCGATGGATGGGGAGCATATTTCTAGTTTCGAAATATTGCCTGTGAAGTGTTTGTTGCCATCCCTTTAATCACAGGAGGGACCAGGCAGGAGTCCTTGCTAGTGCTCATCTTCTCAATGTTGCCCTGATGCAGCTTCCATGCTTTCAGTGTGCCTTGTCTGTACACCTTCCAGTCTTATACCACATACCGTTTCTGTACCCTCAAGATATTACATCACATTCAGTCATTATAGCAAGAATAATTGTAGCAAGAATAACAACAATTCAATGAATTATCGAAAAAGTTAACTGACTTTGTAAGTGCGCCTACACCTTGTTGGGGGTGCCAAGTGTAGCATGCTCCCTTAATGAGGATTCCTGCGCTCTTCTTTCTTTCTCAGATCGGGGACAGCAGCCCAGACGTCGATCCTGGAATCTTGAAGGCTGCTTTCAATGTCACACAACAGTTGGTAGCAGAGGGGCTGATATCATCAGGCCACGATGTCAGCGATGGCGGCATTGTTGCATGCCTGTTGGAAATGGCCTTTGCGGGTATGGCTCACAAGGCGCTGCAAGGATGACATCCATTATCCATATTCATCTGCGCCATGTTTGTTTCAAAGGGCTTGTAATACATTTTGAGAGTTGATATTAGTAAGCAGATCTTGTTATTTTGTTGCATCACAAAGATGCGGGGCAGCCCCAAGAGTGCTTTGTTGTTGAAAAACAGTGGATAGAAGTTCAAATGCTTCCAGGGTTATTTGCATCAGTTGTTCCATAGAACGGTTGGAAGCCCCCCGAAATTTCCTGGTAGTCTGTGACTTGACGATTTTTCAAACAGATGGAGGTCGCAATTGTGTTTAATGACAATCGCCAGTACATTGCTGAGCAGGCTCGTTGCAGTTTGCGTTGATAAGCTACTGTGTGCATAGCAAGCAAATCTTGCCTAAAGGGTACCTGTCGTTGAGTATTGCACTGTGTGCTCAATGTATATTGAGCATTTTATTTTATTCTGTTTATTTGCCTTCGGATGGTGCTGCTGCTCTGTGATTATTTTGCTGGCACTGATGTGCCAGTCAACTGGAAACTCTGGAAGTGGTGCCACGAAACTGGACTGGTGTCAAATGTGACATGTCAACAATGACTGATTGCAGAGCATTGCTACTTGACATGGTCTATGCTGGTGCTTTGTATTCTGTCACGTGCATGTACATGTAGATGCAATCGCACTTGTATGCATTCTGCAGTGGTGCATGTATGCGAGACTGGGATTTCCCCAAGGTGCGTTTGTCCAGTATGAACTGTTGCAGATTCGCACAAGGGGCAACAAAGATCGACATTATGTGCAAGCCAGCTTCTTTCCTACGCAACTTGGTGCCATATGAAGGTGTAATACATAGGTTGGCTACGGTGGACATATCTGCACAAAGCTAGTGCTGACGACAACTGTTGTCCACATGGAAACTGCTGAAAGAAGAAAGGATCTGAAGCACCAGAAGGGCCTTGTTTCCTGTTCGTTGTCTTGTGTGCCATGGCTCAGCTTGACTTTGTGTCGTCAGGCGACTGTGGAATTGAGGTCAACTTGCCTTTGCCCACCCAAGATCCTTGTGGGTCTTTTGCTGCACTGTTTGCGGAGGAGCTGGGGCTGGTCATGGAAGTGGCTGCCAGCACGGTAGATTCCGTTGTGCAGAGATTTGTGGACGCCGGGGTTGTTTGCGATGTGATTGGCAAGGTATGACATGGCATGTTTGGAGTGTGTGCCTGCCTATCTGTAACTGTGCATGTCAGAGACATCAGTCAATCCACAATCGGAATTGCTGGATGGTTCAGCATCAGATTTCACAGTGCCACTTGTATGGAGTATGGTGTCGGGTGTATTATAGGGCATGATTGGTGATTGTCGGCTGCAGAGAGTGCAGCTTTGCTGCCAGAAAGTTATGGTCCATGACTCGGTAGGTCCTCCCACTTGAAGATTTATGCTTCAAAAACTTTCAGATGCTGTGGCCGAGTGTGTAAATGCCCAAGAACACACATTCGCAGCAGCACGACCAACAGAAAACCAATAAACGAGAGCACACAAAGGCGCACAAAAAAGAACAAACGTTCACAAAGATGCACACAAGAAAAACTCCTGAATATTGTGGGATCTTTGAATCCGACCCTGGCCAGGCAAGGACACTGATGGAAGGGTTGTGAACATGAGCAGGTTACAAGCACCAAACAATGTGAGCTGCGTGTGGGAGGCAAGGAGTGCATATCTGATGACATGACAAGGCTCCGAGACGTTTGGGAGGCCACCAGCTTTGAGCTTGAAAAGCTGCAGTGCACTGAGGAATGTGTTACAGCAGAGAAGAGTGGCCTGGCTTCACGCACCCCTCCAAACTGGAAGCTCACATTCACACCAGAGTTCACTGCACCCGCCCTATTGGCTGCAACCGATAGGGTAGGCCATCGATCTGCCAATGATGCAGGCATAATCACAATGAACCTGGCCTTGGTGCAGCTTCT